TCTCTCGCTTTATCTGTACCTCGGATCCTACTCCCAGTGTCCCTAGATGATTGACAAGACTGCATCCAAGACAACTACTGTCCCCAGCCACCCACATATCCAAACAGAGAATACACACACATACAGTATGAAAGGGACATGCAATGCATGAATACATTCGGAGAGTATTCAGACCCCTTGACTTTATCCACATTTTCTTACAGCCTTATTCTAAAATGGATTCAAAAAATTCCTCATCAGTCTACACACAATAACTGTCACGATCGTCATAATGATTGGACCAAGGCGCAGCGTGATATGCGTACATCTTTTTTAATAGTGTACTGGCAACACGATACAAAATACAAAACAACCAAACAAAACGTGAAGTCCTCGGTTAACAACACAAACCAACACGGAACAAGATCCCACAAAACACAAGTGCACAACAGGCTGCCTAAGTATGGTTCCCAATCAGAGACAACAAGCAACAGCTGATTCTCGTTGCCTCTGATTGAGAACCACCCCGGCAAACCTAGAAAAAACATGAACTAGAAACTGAACATAGAACACAAAACATAGACCCTACACACCCTGGCTCAACATATAAGAGTCCCCAGAGCCAGGGCGTGACAGTACCCCCCCCCCCCCCCGGGCTGGCGACGCGCACCACAGGCTTGGTGCGAGGGGCAGGAACAGGCCGGGTCGGGCTGGCGACACGCATCACAGGCTTGGTGCGGGGAGCAGGAACGGGCCGGACCGGGCTGTGGAGACGGACTGGAGGTCTGGAGCGAAGAGCTGACACAACCCGTCCTGGCTGAATGCCTATTTTTACACACTCTGTGTGAGGCATCAGCACAGGATGTACAGGGCTGTGTACTCGTACTGGCACTACAGCACGTGACACTGGCGCAGGATATCCGGGACCGAGGAGGGGTACTGGAGGCCACGAGCGTTGAGTCGGCACACTCCGTCCTGGCTGCATGCCCACCTTAGCACGATACGTGCGTGGTGCTCGCACAGGACGTACCGGACTGTGCCGGACCACTCGCGGCACAGTACGCAGCTCCGCATACCTCGGAACATGCCCAATCTCACGCTGCCTAGCCTGAGTATGGGGAGTTTGCTCTGCTCTACCTCTAGGCTCCGCCAACCTCCCTTCCAGCCCCCCAAACCCGGTGGCCTCCTCTCCTAATCCACAAACTCGCCCAGTAGCTGCCTCCAGCAGCCCCGTCGTCCATGCCGTGTGCCCCCCCCAAAAAAATTATTGGGGTTGCCTCTTGCGTGTCCGACGTCAGCCCGGTTGGCGCCGCTGCTCCTCTCTATGGCGCACCTCCACCGTCTCCTCCCACGGACGGCGATCCATACCGGCCTGGATTTCCTCCCAAGTCCAGGACCCCTGCCCGTCCAAGATCTCCTCCCAAGTCCAGGCTGTCTGCTCCTGGACACGCTGCTTGGTCCTGTTTGGTGGGATCTTCTGTCACGATCGTCATAATGATTGGACCAAGGCGCAGCGTGATATGCGTACATCTTTTTTAATAGTGTACTGGCAACACGATACAAAATACAAAACAACCAAACGAAATGTGAAGTCCTCGGTTAACAACACAAACCAACACGGAACAAGATCCCACAAAACACAAGTGCACAACAGGCTGCCTAAGTATGGTTCCCAATCAGAGACAACATGCAAGGGCGTGACAATAACCCATAATGACAAAGCAAAAACGGTTTATTTATTTTATTTTTTGCAAAAGTATTAAACATAAAAAACTGAAATATCTTATTTACATAAGTATTCAGACCCTTTGCTGTGAGACTCGAAATTGAGCTCAAGTGCATCCTGTTTCCATTGATCATCCTTGTGATGTTTCTACAACTTGGACTCCACCTGTGATAAATTCAATTGATTTTACATGATTTGGAAAGGCACACACCTGTCTATATAAGGTCCCACAGTGCATGTCAGAGCAAAAACCAAGCCATGAGGTTGAAGGAATTGTCCGTAGAGCTCCGAGACAGGATTGTGTCAAGGCACAGATCTGGGGAAGGGTACTAAAAAATGTATGCAGCATTGAAGGTCCCCAAGAACACAGTGGCCTCCATCATTCTTAAATGGAAGAAGTTTGGACCCACCAAGACTCTTCCTAGAGCTGGCCGCCCGGCCAAACTGAGCAATTGGGGGAGAAGGGCCTTGGTCAGGGAGGTGATCAAGAACCCAATGGTAAATCTGACAGAGCTCCAGAGTTCCTCTGTGGAGATGGGAGAACCTTCCAGAAGGACAACCATCTCTGCAGCACTCTACCAATCAGGCCTTTATGGTAGAGTGGCCAGACGGAAGCCACTCCCCAGTAAAAGGCACATGACAGCCCGCTTTGAGTTTGCCAAAAGGCACCTAAAGGACTTTCAGACCATGAGAAACAAGATTCTCTGGTCTGATGAAACCAAGATTGAAGTCTTTGGCCTGAATGCCAAGCGTCACATCTGGAGGAAACCTGGCACCATCCCTACGGTGAAGCATGGTGGTGGCAGCATCATGCTGTGGGGATGTTTTTCAGCGGCAGGGACAGGGAGACTAGTCAGAATCGAGGGAAAGATGAACAGAGCAAAGTACAGAGAGATCCTTGATGAAAACCTGGTCCAGAGCTTTCAGGACCTCAGACTGGGGCGAAGGTTCACCTTCCAACAGGACAACGACCCTAAGCACACAGCCAAGACAACGCAGGAGTGGCTTCGGGACAAGTCTCTGAATGATGTTGAGTGGACCAGCCAGAGCCCGGACAAGGACCCGATCTAACATCTCTGGAGACCTAAAAATTGCTGTGCAGCGACGCTCCCCATCCAACCTGACAGAGCTTGAGAGGATCTGCAGAGAAGAATGGTAGAAACTCCACAAATACAGGTGTGCCAAGTTTGTAGCGTCATACCCAAGAAGACTTGAGGCTGTAATAACTGCTTCAACAAAGTACTGAGTAAAGGTTCTGAATACTTATACTGTAAATGTATTCTAAACCAGTTTTTGCTTTTTCATTATGGGGTATTGTATGTAGATTGATGAGGGGGAAAAAACGATTTATACCATTTTAGAATAAGGCTGTAACGTAGCAAAATGTGGGACAAGTCAAGGAGTCTGAATACTTTACGAATGCACTGTACATGCATGCACTCGCATACGAAATATACACTCACAAGATATATAACTTGAGCCCCTCCAAATAAAAATTGACAATTGTCAGGGTTTTGCACTGTTCATTGTTATTTTATAGCAAGCACAGAAATGATCTTACAACCAACTGCTAACATACAGGTATCAGTATCACAGTTAGTAAAATACACAAGGTGCAATTTTAAAATGTGGTAGCGCATCAGCAGTTTCTCTCTTATGTCAGTCCCTCAATTAGCCCATGTCAGCTAACATTTTTTAGATCGCTGACTAATGTACCAATCTAAACTTGTAGTAGTCATAGTCGAATTACCGACAGGGCACGTGCCCATTGATTTCGTCACTCTCACTCATATCATATTAACATGGCATAAGTCATGGCAAAACGTGTAGAATTGCAGGAAATTAGCTGTAAAACTGCACATTTTTCTTCCCACCCCATGGAAAAATGAGTAGAATTGCAAGAAATTAGTTTATAAAATTGCTAAATGTTCTCTCTGCCCCATGGAAAAATGTGTAGTTGCTGCAAACCTGCTTTAAAACTGCAAGGTGGGGGGTCCCCCAACCAAATGTAACTTAGGGCCCCCAAAAGGCTAAAACCAGCCCTGAGTCTACCACAACTCCAGCCAGCTGCATGTTTTTTTTTTCTTTTGAAACATAAGGAGAAAACCCCCCAAAATTTAAGAAATATTAAAAAGTTGCACTTGCATTATATTACATTTTCTCTAAGTACTATTTATACAAAGGTGTATCTTAAAACACACAACGTGAATCTTATGTGTTTACCGTTCTCTAAAAACATTCAAATCCATCTAAAAGTAAAATGGAATGCAAGTCAAGTTCATGGCACATATCCTAATGGACGGACAAAATACAGCATTGAGGACACGGAGGCAATTCAGAACATTTCACTTACATTAATCAAAATCAAGTTCAATATGCTCAAGTAAAAGGAAGCTAAATTCTAACCATATCCGTAAATAAATAACAAAGGAGTAATTGTTAGTTGGACTTCCCAACAGGTGCTCCTATACTGGTCAAATTGATACATTGCTGCTGGTACTGTAACTTAGAGAATGCACTTGGGGTCTTGTATTACCAACACAATGGCAAAGTGAAATTTGGCAAGGACCTTTTTTACATTATGCTAAAACTAAAAAACTAAAACAAATTGACAACATATTTCCATCAATGTCTTAATTGACAAGTGCGTGGACGACTTCGGTATGCAAATATCAGATATTCATAAATTCTCTGTTTCTTCCCCCAGCCTTTTTGGATAAGGTGTATGCATGCACCAAGTTACCTCAACACATATTTTGAGGACATTTAACAGGGGCGGTCTGTGTAACTTTTCCTGCTTTTACTTTGGAACACAATCGTACAGTGAGAGGAACAATACCTACCCACCCAACCTGTGGTGGAAGGGAATATTCCAGTCCTTAAGAGTTCTCTACTCCATGTAACCAAGTGTGGGATGTTAAAAAGCAACAATATTGTGTGGAAAAACACTTGAGGTGGGCTGAAGATTTGAACATTTGAGGCAATGTCACGGCAACACATATCTCCTCACTTCTGAACAACTTCTGACAACTACTGAAAACGCAGTTGTTCACCCTTTGGCTTACTGCATAAAAAATGTAATGTAACCCAAAATGGCTGCATTCATATCATTTAAAACAGAGAGAATATCTGAAAGCAGAGGATCTTTAAAACTAGTAATTTAATCTTAAAAAGATCAATTGCTCAATCAATACCCATTCTTCCATGGTCCCTGATGTAATATCTGACATCCAGCGAGCTAGCAGCTCATATTTCCCTCTTTTAGTCCTTCCGTTTTCTCCTCGTTTCCTCCCCCTCACACGCCGGTTGAATCCTCTATAACCTCCACCCCTTCCCTTTGTGGGAGGAGCCTGAGGTTCTCCTCAGCGAATGGCGAGGGAGAATCCTTGGGTATGCCGTTCCTTTCCAGGTGTTCGTCCAATAGAGCAGCTACCGGGGTGTCGCACTCCACGGTGCTGCACTTGGTGTATACACCCCTTGTGTCGGTGCCACTTCCTAAGGGGTTGTGTCTAGTTCTGTTCCTGAGGGTGGAGTGGATGTACCCCAGGGGGACTGGCAAGGTGGTGAATATGATCAGGACAGCCAGGACAGCCAGGGCCCAGTCAGGGTACTCCAGAGACACCTCTGAGGCCTGAGGAAGAGATCAGTAAGTACACATATAAAGAAGATACAAAGTGGTAAGACAATAGACAATGTAGTTGGTGCAGACAATGTAAATGGATGGGCAGGTAGAGAGCAAGACTTGGACAAGCATACATAGGGAGGACAGAATGGTAACTAAAGCAGAAAGAAAAGGCAGAATCTTTACCATCTCCCTATTGTCACAAAAACTGCAGCTCATATATTGATCACATATAATATGTTACCAAAATATAGTGCATTCGGAAAGTATTGAGACCCCTTGACTTTTTCCACATTTTGTTACGTTACAGCCTTATTCTAAAACGTCAATCTACACACACACACACAATACCCCATAATGACAAAGCGAAAACAGGTTAGACATTTTTCATATTTCTTTAAAATAAAAAACTGAAATACCTAATTTACGTAAGTATTAGACCATTTGCCATGAGACTTGAAATTGAGCTCAGGTGCATCCTGTTTCCATTGATCATCCTTGAGATGTTTCTACAACTTGATTGGAGTCCACCTGTGGTAAATTCAATTGATTGGACATGATTTGGAAAGGCACTGTCTATATAAAGGTTCCACAGCTGACAGTGCATGTCAGAGCAAAAACCAAGCCATGAGGTTGAAGGAATTGTCCGTAGAGCTCCGAGACAGAATTGTGTCGAGGCACAGATCTGGGAAAGGGTACCAAAAAATTTCTGCAGCATTGAAGGTCCCCAAGAACACAGTAGCCTCCATCATTCTTAAATGGAAGAAGTTTGTAACCACCAAGACTCTTCCTAGAGCTTGCCGCCCGGCCAAACTGAGCAATCGGGGGAGAAGGGCCTTGGTCAGGGAGGTGACCAAGAACCCAATGGTCCAGAGTTCCTATGTGGAGTTGGGAGAACCTTAGAGAAGGACAACCATCTCTGCTGCACTCCACCAATCAGGCCTTTATGGTAGAGTGGCAAGACTGAAGCCACTCCTCAGTAAAAGGCACATGACAGCCCACTTGGAGTTTGCCAAAAGGCACCTAAAGGACTCTCAGACCATGAGAAACAAGATTATCTGGTCTGATGAAACCAAGATTGAACTCTTTAGCCTGAATGTCAAGCATCACATCTAGAGGAAACCTGGCACCATCCCTACGGTGAAGCATGGTGGCAGCATCATGCTGTGGGGATGTTTTTCAGCGGCAGGGACTGGGAGACTAGTCAGGATCGAGGGAAAGATGAACGGACCAAAGTACAGAGATCCTTGATGAAAACCTGCTCCAGAGCGCTCAGGACCTCAGACTGGGGTGAAGGTTCACCTTCCAACAGGACAACGACCCTAAGCATACAGCCAAGACAACGCAGGAGTGGCTTCGGGACAAGTCTCTGAATGTCCTTGAGTGGCCCAGCCAGAGCCCGGACTTGAACCTGATCGAACATCTCTGGAGAGACCTAAAAATAGCTGTGAAGCGACGCTCCGCATCCAACCTGACAGAGCTTGAGAGGATCTGCAGAGAAGAATGGGAGAAACTCCCCAAATACAGGTGTGCCAAGCTTGTAGCGTCATACCCAAGAAGACCCGAGGCTGTAATCGCTGCCAAAGATGCTTCAACAAAGTACTGAGTAAAGGTTTTGAATACATTTGCAAACATTTCTAAAAACCTGTTTTTGCTTTGTCATAATGGGGTATTGTGTGTAAATTGATGAGGGGGAAAATACTATTTAATCCATTTTACAATAAGGCTGTAACAAAATGTGGAAAAAGTCAAGGGGTCCGAATACTTTCCGAATGCACTGTATATGGTCGTATATCAACCATGGTAAAGACGCCTTTGAGTTAGGGAAGAAAGACGAGCAGCCTCCTTACCGTTTCTCTGTTCCAGGCGGTGTAGCTGGGCCGTTTGAAGCACATCCTCATCAGGCTGGCTCCCAACAGTCCCAGCATGGCCAGCAGACACACGTACTTCCACAGGTACTTATAGACCACAGTGGGGCGCCAGCGCAGCATCTTCTCTATGTCATCAAGGAACCTGGACATTCAGATGCACAAGACAATGATCAGTGACAAGGGGGAACAAACAGACACAGCAAGTCTAAAGTCCTCTGTAGCTCAGCTGGTAGAGCACGGCGCTTGTAACGCCAAGGTAGTGGGTTCGATCCCCGGGACCACCCACACACAAAAAATATATGCACGCATGACTGTAAGTCGCTTGGATAAAAGCGTCTGCTAAATGGCATATTATTATTAAGTCGACCTGAAGGATTGATGTTTTGGAGCCACCTTCATTCTACACTGAATAATTGAAGTATGACTATTTCTTCATCAATTAATAACTCCTCTTTCGAGAAAGAAATGGTGTCATCTAATTTCTGATGGGCATCGTGTGGTTTATGTGATCAGTGTAGTTAATAGGTTCTTACCGGTCAGCGGCGTATACCCAGGACACGATGAAACACTCAAACACCACCACTATGATGAGGGGCAGGGTGGCGGAGTAATCGTCAAACATCATCACAAAGTAGTTCCCACAGCACTGCGTGAACAGCATGCCAATCAGAAAGCCCATGATGCAGCTGAACACTGGGGGAGGAGAGGGAGAACATTACAGACCCCACACAGATACACTTGGTATATTTAGTAAAGAGGAGTGAGGATTAACACTCAAACCCCATTATGATGGCATGTTATAACACTTCTACTGTATATGAATAAGACTTCAAATGTTTCCCAATTTGTCTAGTTACATCCAGTGGTTCCCAAACTTAGGGTCAGAACCCCAAGATGGGCCACCTGATAGAAAAATGGGCTCATGAGAGAAAACACACACACAGACACCATCTCTCTCTCTTTACCTTTGAGCTTGGTCTTGTGGCGCTTCAGCACTTTGAAGTTGTCGGTGAGGGGTGTGAGGATGCCCTCCAAGGTGCTGAGGCCCAGGTTGAGCAGCATTAGGAAGAACAGGCCCGACCAGAAAACAAATCAGTCCGTAAAAACATCTGTGGCGCCCTTTTACTAGTAAAGGGCATTTCAAGTCTTTTCAATTGGCCTTTTCATTCTGCTTTGTACACCTAAAAGAGCTGGCTCCGAACAGCTCTTCGTTCAGTAGCCATGATTGTGTTGAATAGACATGGGGGGGAGGGTCTCCAAGTCACTAAATCCACCGTTGACAATATGTGGGACCTCACTGTTAATGAGCTGTACATCATGGTACCTACTGTACATTTCAACATAATTTCCCATATATTTACTGACATGCTAATACTACCATGCTTTATGCTAATTACATTTTGTTGGTGTGGAAGGGAAGTTGGTGTGAAGTGAAACTCAGACTTTTCCAGAATGTGATTGGGGGAGTCACTTGAGTTCTCAGGCAGATCAATGACTGTGGCACCAAAGTACTGTAATAAAGCTCGCTAGACCACCCGAGAGGGATCCAGAGTAGCGTGACGCTGGCACCACCTTTGTTTGACCTGTATGGTCCGGTGTCAGAGGATATGACACCAAAACTCAACACAGATATAGCAAACAATGATCTTTATTAACTACACCATTTCATAAGACGGTGTGCATGAAATGATAGGCGACCTACTCAATTCATGCAGTCTCTGTAACCCTATCAGAGGTGCTGCAATGACCCGAAGGCACACAGGTTATTAAGTGTGATATTGCTCTAAAAAGGGACCCTACACACAGTAGTGAGGTATACGGTTAAGGAGAACATCCAAGATTCTACTAATACTTCACTGCAAACCGGGCCTAGCCCAATGAAACGCAATTGTACCAACATGCAAATTCACTGCACACAGGGGCATAATAGCCTATGCACGGTCCGGAGACCCACACGTGATAATAACCTCATAGAACCCTCCCACATTGAGCTATGCAGTCTGCAATCCCCGTTCTGCTCGCCACCCTGCATCCCACTGCTGTCTTGCCTCTGAAGCTAAGCAGGGTTAGTCCTGGTTGGTCCCTAGATGGGAGACCAGATGCTGCTGGAAGTGTTATTGGAGGGCCAGTAGGAGCCACTCTTTCCTCTGGGCTAAAAAAAAAGATCCCAATGCCCCAGAGCAGTGATTGGAGACATTGCCCTGTGTAAGGTACCATCTTTCAGATAGGACATTAAATGGGTGTCCTGACTCTCTGTGGTCATAAAAAATCCCTTGGCACTTATTGTAAGAGTAGGGGTGTTAACCCTGGTGTCCTGGCTAATCATCTCCATGGCCACCTAATCATCCCCAGCTTCCAATTGGCTCATTCCTCTCCCCTGTAATTATTCCCCAGGTTGTTGCTTAGAATGTGTTCAGTGAACTTACCTGGTAAAATAAGGGATAAATAAATATAACCCACGCTGTATTTTTAAAACATTTAACAAGACTAGGCCAATGAAAGAGGACATACCATTTAAATGTAACATTTAAAAACACTTAGCTCTCCCAGCTGAAGGGACCTCCATTTGGGTCTGGGCGTGTGCATAACCGTTGGGCCGGTCGGCGTGACTAGTGGCAGACCGGCAGTGGGTACTGTTACGAGATGTCCCCACGCCAATAGATGGCGCTGCTGTTATGTGTATCTGAGTGTGATACTATATAAATACTAGTGAGCCAAGTTAGGCATTACTTACTATACACTGAATGGAGCTTTATGCATGCTACAGAGTGATGCTGAAGTAAATACTTTATAATCAACATGACCTTGCTCTTGTATAGACTAAACACCATACAAAACATGGTGTCAGAAGTCAGAACCAAATAGGTATATCCTTGACGAATCAAAATATCAAAACAACACACGGATCAATGCACAATAGGAAGAGACATGCCAACGAGCTAACCAGCTACCAATAATAATAACAACGACAACGACAACAATGGCTTACCCGGTAATTCCAGTACCAGAGCCTATGGACATGAAGGATACCAGTACCAGAGCCTATGGACATGAAGGATACCAGTACCAGAGCCTATGGACATGAAGGATACCAGTACCAGAGCCTATGGACATGAAGGGTACCAGTACCAGAGCCTATGGACATGAAGGATACCAGTACCAGAGCCTATGGACATGAAGGATACCAGTACCAGAGCCTATGGACATGAAGGATACCAGTACCAGAGCCTATGGACATGAAGGATACCAGTACCAGAGCCTATGGACATGAAGGGTACCAGTACCAGAGCCTATGGACATGAAGGGCGATACATACAACAACTGGACATTTTTCGAGCACAATGGGAAAACTATGAGATAGCTACCAGTCTGGACGAAAAGGACGCAAACGTCTGCAAAGCAACTCTGCTAACCATGATGGGAAAGGAATGTAATATCTTACAGTGGCATCTTCATATGCCTGAAGCAGAGAGAACTGACCCAGAGACTATACATTTTACCTCCCGTGAGCGACGTTCAGAATCAAAACGCCAAACATATGGTCGTAAACAGACAGAGTTTACAGGGGATAATAACAAACATAGAATGCCAAACGACTTACCCTGTCATTACTGTGGTTCAGTACATGCCAAAGCCAAATGCCCAGCATGTCACCTGTAAAGCATGTGGCAAACGAAACCACTTTGCCATAGTTTGTAAACAAGCACAACACAAACCTCAACTCAATCTATTAGAGGAAGATAATGAGTCAGATGACCAAACAACAGATGCAATGTGATACATCTCACAGGTTAATTATGTGGAAGACAAGGCAAAAAATAGTTCATTAACCTTAAGGTAGCTCCACTCAGTGATGAGCCATTGACATATGACCCCAGCCACACAATTAAATGCCAACTAGACACAGGATCAACAGTGAATGTCATAAGCTATGGGGACCTACAGCGAGTCATGCAAGACGGCAATCCAGTTCTCCTACCCAGAAAAGCTACAATCAAGCAAATGACAGTACACTGATAAAGCCAACAGTAGAAACATGGAGACATCCCAGATTCCTCTGCTGTCAGCTGACATGTGTGAAAGATTCAGCCTACTACATGTGAACCACAGCCATATGTTACATTACGTCGACGCCCCAAGCACCACATCCACTGAGGTCATCATGACAACTGAGGAGATCATCTCCAAGTACAAGGACGTGTTCGATGGGCTTGGCTGCCTTCCTGGAGAGTTACACCTAGAAGTAGACAATGCAGCCCGGCCTGTGCAGCAGCTACCAAGACGGATACCTATTCCACTGAAGAAAAGGATCACAAAGTCCATACATTCAATGGGCAATGCAGAAATCATCACGAAAGTCACAGAGCCAACACCGTGGATCAGCAACATGGTTGTCATTGAAAACACCTGATAAACTACGAATATGCTTGGGCCCCAGTGCACTCATCAAAGCCTTACTGAGATTGCACTTCCAGATGCCCACAATAGAAGAGATTCTACCAGAGATATCCAACGCAAAGGTATTCTCAGTACTCGATGCCAAAGATGGATTTTGGCAAGTCAAACTTGATGAAGTGAGCAGCTATCTAACAACTTTCTGGACACCTGTAGGCAGGTATAGATGGCTGAGAATGCCATTTGGAATCAAGCCAGCAGCTGAAGAATACCAGCGAAGACAGTGTGAAGCACTACAGGGACTAAAAGGAGTGAGTGTGATCGCAGATGACATTCTACTCTATGGATGTGGTGACACACATGAAGAGGCGATGGCAGTTCATGACAGAAACCTTACAGCTCTCCTGCAGAGAGCAAGAGATGTCAACCTGAAGCTGAACAAAAATAAACTCTGGTTAAAGCTACCTAGTGTGACATACAGTACATGGGTCATCTTCTCATCACAGTGGGCCTTCGCCCTGACCCAGAGAAAATAACAGCCATTCAGAACATGGGTACACCGACCGACGTCAAGTCACTACAGCGGCTGTTGGGGTTTGTGAACTATCTTGCAAAATTCATGCCCCACCTATCTGATGTGTGTGAGCCACTCAGAAGACTGACTGACAAGGACATTGAATGGACAGCAGTGGAGACTATCAAACAGTTAGTCAGACAACACCCAGTGCTCAAATACTACAACCTGAATGATGAAGTCACACTGCAGTGTGATGCCAATGAGACAGGTTTGGGCGCAGCCCTTCTACAGAAAGGACAACCTGTTGCATTTGCCTCCAGAACATTGCCTCAGACAGAACAAAGATATGCACAGATTGAGAAAGAATGTCTCTCCATTGTTTTTGCATGTGACAAGTTTGACCAGTATCTGCATGGCAGAGAGTTCATCACAATACACAGCGACCACAAACCGCTTGAGACGATCTTCAAGAAATCCCTACTCACAGCACCCAAGCGACTGCAGAGAATGTTGCTACGGCTACAAAGACACCAACTCCACATGCAATACAAACAAGGCAAATAACTACATGTAGCTGACTTCCTGTCCAGAACAGCTCAATCAACCACAGAACACAGACCAATGCAAACACCAGCCACGGTCTACACTATGGGTCTAGCCACAACTGACCTGGAACAGGTGGATCACACCAGTGATGTCAACATCTCAACTAAGACAATGGAGTCAATCAAAGCACTCTGTTCCTAGGACCCACTGTTTCAGGCTCTGTACACACAAATCAAATCAAAAACGGCTGGCCTGGAACCAAGCAGGCTGTGAGTACCACACTGAAAGATTTCTGGACGTACAAAGAGGAGCTCACCACAGAAAATGGACTGATATTTAAAGGAAACAGGGTCTTCATCCTTGACATGTTACGCGCTGACTTTCTACACAAAATACACTCTGGCCACTCAGGCAGAGGCCAGTCTCAGAAAGGCACGCGATGCTGTTTTCTGACCAAGGATTACGGAGGACGTAAAGATCTTTATCAGCAAATGTGCAACCTGCAACTCCATCCAGAAGAGACAACAAAAGGAGACACTCATCCCCCACCAAATCCCTCCCCTCCCATGGTCCAAGATTGGGATGGACTTACTCACAGTCAACA